TTGCCGGCCCGGGTCGGGCCGGGGCGGGACACTGAGGGTTGCGGTCCGTTGCCGGACACGAAAAAAGACAAAAAAAGGAAAAAAAAAAAAAAAAAAAGAACTGTGCTCAAATCTCCTTATTTTAAAAACATCTTTTTCTCAGTTTTCCTGCCTTCTAAACTACATTAATTTTTTCTTTCTGCACCATCAAGAACATTCTAACGTATTACTTCAGCCCAGTTAGTCTGGCTTTCACACCTACCATGCTCCACAGACATACTTCTTCAAGAGTTCAGCAGTTTCTTGCTAGTTTTCAGATCCATTGGACGGTTTTAATCCTTATTCTGTTTGCCTGCACTGCAGTAAATGGTTGTTGACCAGTTGTGAAATATTTTTAATTCATGGTTTCCATTAACAACCTCTTCTATTTTCTTTTTATGACTCTGACCAATTCTGTTTGTTTTCTTTCTCCGCCTATTCTCTGTGCATGTTTATCCCCAGATCCTTTACTTAATTGTCTCCTGGTTTTGTATGTTTATCTTAGTTTCTCTCACCGTCTTCAGCTTTGAATCTAATTTATATGCTAATAACTTCTAGCTCCCCCCTTTTTTCTGAGTTTGACTCTCTGTGATGCTTTTCCCTCTGGATGGCCCAGTGCCACTTCGAATCCAAAACTAATCCTACCGACCTTCCCAAATTTTGTTTTCCTCTTTTAGTCTTCTTATATATATCTCTGATGGCATCCTTATTCACACTCTCTTCCAAGCTGGCAACTCAGACTAGTGCTCATCTCTTCTTTCTTTCCAACCGTTCCTTTCCACATCTAACTAGCACTAAAGTCTGCCAATTCTCCCTGCTACAAGACTCACCATTCTGTCACATTCATTCTTTCCTCACTGCTTTTTCCTTAAGTCACACACTGTTATCTCTTGCTTAAATCATTGCGTCTAAACTTTCCCAGTGTTCAGTCTCTAGGCTTTTTTCTAAAGCCATCTTTCATAATGCCTTGATTTTAAAAAATCTTCAATTACCTACTATCCATTAGGAAGTGCTCCAGTTCCTTAGCATGGCATGATAGGTTTGTCCCTCATTGGCCTTATGTCCTTCTGTTGTGCACATTCCATGTATCCTTTGCCTTACCCACACAATCTTTTAAAATCTTTTAAAAATAACCTTATCTTCTTTGGCACCTTCATGCCCTTTTTTCCTTACCTGTTCTTCCTATATTTAATGCCATTTTCCTACCCTTCCGGCCTAACTCAGTCATTCAACAAAAATGGAAGTGCCTTTTGTGAGCCGTAATTTGTAGTCATCATTTAAAATCCAGCCCAAAGTTCACCATTTTTTGAAGCCATCTTGAGTTTCCCCACACAACATATCGTATATTATGGTGAAGTATACTTTTTTTCTTAAAGCTACATAGCTTTAAAATTGATATTAATCTAGGACTCTGTGCATCCTAAAAGTATTGTGAAAGCATTAACTGAGTGAAGAGAGAAACATTGTGGCTAGAGCCAAAAAGACAAGAAAGTTTTTGAAAGAGGTAAGGAGTACTTGTAATGGATAAGCTAAAGTCAAAAGGAAGAGAATTAGAATTTCAGATGCTAACAAGTGGCAGAGGTATGGATTTCTGCCCCTTCTCTTCTTTCTTCCTGGAGATGGATCACTGTCACACGTTATCCTTAGTGTCTCCTAAGTAACTATTTCTTACTGGTTAGCTTATTGAGGAAAAAATTCAAAAACTAAAATTATGACTAACTTGTAAAATGCCTCTGTAACTAAATGTGCTTATCTCCCAGGGCCCCCCCAGAACTCAGCCTAACTAAATAATCAACTGCTGACAGGCATTTCTGCTTCTGTAATCTTGCTAAGCCTGTCCCACTTGCCTTTCACATTTTGCTTGTTCACCTAAGTTACATGGGTGAGAAAGAACTAAAATCAACAGCTGTTTGTCTGAGATACAAGATTAAGATACTAAGCCTATGGCCATAAAAACCCTGTTAATCTCATGTTCAAGGTCCCAGGATTCTCAGGATATGAGTCCACCTGGGTCCCACGCATAATAAACCTTCTGACTGTCCTATCTTCTGAGCGTCTGGAGCCTTTCTTGCTGAGTTAGTTCCACAACAAGCTCTCTGCTGTATGGGCTTAGCCTAAATCTCCTTCTTTAGTTATCTCCAGAATAATCTGTTTTTCTTAAATCAGTAGCTTCTAATATAATCAGAAAGACTTTTTCATGTGTAACAGCTCCCAAATAAGCCCAATGTCCCAATTATACCACCTCTTCACACATACTGTTTTTAACTTTGGTATGTTTTTTCTTTCCCAAATCTGGTAACTTTTTTGTGTGTTTATTCAGTCTTTATAAATTTGTGTTTCCTTGTTCTTTATGATCAGCCGAATTTTTCCCCAAAGCCGTTAATACATTTCTTTTGGTCTTGGATTCTACCATTGCCTGGCTAACCAAAACCATCATTAATACCAGTTCAGTTTTTCCTTTTATTTCCAAAGTATTGTGTCCATATTAATTGTATTGAGCTATCTTGAAGATATGTTTTCTTCATTTCTGCCTGTTATGTAGTATTGCTCAAAAGGCTGCTAAGATTTATTAGCAAGCAGCTGAGGTTTTTATTTTTTAAGTGTCTTTTTAGTATTTCCTTCAAATTATTGATTTTATTCTTTTAATAAGTATCTTATTTCTTGTAGCATATGCTCATTGAAAATTACTGTGGTAAAAATGTTGATGCAGTGACACAGATGCTTTATTTTTGTTTGAAAACATGTTCTTTCACTTCATTCTTAGTTTAAATTCTTAGTAATTGAAGATCATATCCTACATTTTAAGCAGCTGATGGGAAGAATCAGAATGTTATTCGTTACTAGCAACTGTGTTTATTTTCTTTCATTGATAATTTTGAAAAGGACTTAGTTTGCTTTAGTTCTTAAGCGGTAATTAAAAGGATAAAGTATAAAACCCTATATTAAAAATTAATATGTTCTTCTAATTCTGATAACTTAACCACACATTTTAAAATCTAATGTTCCACACCCGTACAGCACCTATGTATTGCTAGATTTTGTCTATTTTTACACGTTGCTGGAAATGCGGACTATGTAATAACAGTTTAACTCTTAGGTTTAACCTTTTGTCAAGTCTGTAGCAATGATAATAATTTTTTTAAAAAATCAGCCATTATTTAGAGGAAGCAATAATGAGAATGGTAAACATAGTGCTTAATATAGGATAGTCTGTTTTCTATCAAACCGTTATTGTAATATTATTTTAATAGAGTAATTTTAATATGCCTTTTAAGTATTTGAAATCTTCATGTTAATTAGTGGGCTTTGAAATTACAAATATAGAAGTTAATAGAGTATCCTACTCTCTAAACTTCCACTAGTAAGCATTTTGCAAAAGCAATATACACAACCTAAATGGGAAATCATTAAAATTTCTATTTTTTATGCGTATTATACTACATGCAGTATTTTGCCAGCTATTTGATGTGTCGGTGTCAGGAATAGATAGGTTTAAAAAACAAGTATATCCAAATACATACAAATACCGTTTTTAATTTTACAGTATAGATTATAATTAGTGGATATAATATGCTTGATAATAACTATAAGAAATAGCTTTGTCAAAATGTGTAAAATTCTAGCCATCAAATATGTAATCATTATACATTTTTTATTGTTATAAAACTTAGTTTACCATTGATTGTTGTCACTTGTTTACAAGATCCATTGTCTCTATTGGTTCTTGGAAAAACTTAAAAGAAACTCTGCCTTTCAGAAGTAATACGTAACTTTTTATCCTTTTCCAGGATATGGAAAAATGAAATAAATAATACAAATACTTTCAGAGTTTTACCTCATCCTTCTTTTGTTTACACGGCTAAGTTCCATCCAGCTGTAAGAGAGCTGGTGGCTACCGGATGCTATGATTCTATGATACGGATATGGAAAGTTGATATGAGAGAAGATTCTGCCATACTGGTTCGACAGTTTGATGTTCACAAGAGTTTCATCAACTCTCTCTGTTTTGATACTGAAGGTAGGTCAGAGTACATTACAAATGAAGACTAGTTTCAAGAAGAATTTTTTTTAACTTTTTATTTCACTAGAATAATATTATTTAAGCTTGAGAGGGATTTATGTGTTAATAATTGTGTATTTAGTTTTATGCTTATTTTACAGGTCACATGATAGATTTGACACTGAGGGACCTGTTGTAATTTTAAAGTTATTAAACTCCTAAGCATTTAGATTCGATTAATCTTTGCTATAACAACCAGTCTACCAAATTTTATAAATACATTTATTTGGATTGGTGATTATTATTCTTAGTTGGTGTTTTTTAAGGACCTTTTAAGTTTAAGGATACAAAGTTAGGGAGATGAGGGAGAAGTCTCAAAAGAGTATTGAAAATATATATTTGAAGTGTATCAACAGTATTTTTTTTAAAGTACACAAACATATATAGAAGGGAAACTTGTGATTACTTAAAAGTTATCTTAGTATATGAGTAATAGAGATGATGTTTTAAAGATATAAAATATAGATCATTAGCTGAAAGAATGAAGAAATTTATTATGTCTGTTAAATAATCACTTTTTAGTTGATTTCAGAGATAAGACTTGTAAGGCTATAGCTACAATTAATTAGTATGGGATCCAGATCAAAATGATAATACTGCTAATGTACTCAGTTTAACTATAGGGATGTTAATAAATTTGGAACATATTGAGGAAAGGCCCTGAATAGAAAGTTGTCTGAAAACTTTGTCATAATAAAAGTAACTCAGGTTATAAAAGGGGTAAAGAATTTTTTCAAATATTTGGCCATAAGATAGTCAAATATAGGAGAAAAGAGGGAAATTGGTCTATTTTGCTCTTGAGGGTAGTGATGGGACCAATGCTACAGAAGACATATTTTCTTTGCTCAGAATTAGGAAGAGCATTCTAATACATGGAGCAGTTCACCAGTTGAATAAGCTGTTTTGTAAAATATTAAATTCACAGTTGCTGAACAACATCTGTTAGTAGTGGTGTGTAAGATATTCCTGAGCGGGTATGAATTTGAACTGGCTGGTCTCTGAGGTTCCATTCATCTTTAAGATGTTTTAACTCTGAAGAATTGATATTAAATTAGAACACCTGATATTCATTCTGTGATCATTTACTGAGTTCCTATTGGGTCTCAGGTATTATGCTAACAGTATGTATTACAATGAGGGTATTTTTCTAGGAATATAAAACAGATTATATAGGTTAATGAAGATGGCGAATACAGATACATACTGGATATTTCAAATAATTTGGCTTTGGGATATGAGCTATATGAACCTGCACTGAGATGCTAATTTCTTTTTATATTCAAATTCAGGTAAATGATAAAGGGAAATAAGTCAAAAATAATTTAAGAGTGAAGAATTCATTTAAAGGTAATTGAGATTTGATTGTGTTTTGCTTTTTTAGACTGAAATGCCTTTTAACAGCCTTCCAATTCTTTGACTGTTTTACTGGGATATGATTTCCTCCATCTTCATATTATTTGTTCCTTATTCTGTGTGACAGTCATAAGTGAGTAATTTTGGTTTTTTTTAAATAGGTCATCATATGTATTCAGGAGACTGTACAGGCATAATTGTTGTTTGGAATACTTATGTCAAAGTTAATGATCTGCAACATTCAGTGCGCCACTGGACTATAAATAAGGTATAAAATCTTATTTTATATTTTGGGATTAAAGAAATTGGGGGAAAAAATCTAACCACATGACTTTAAGATAGGACCTTAGGACATTACTTTTTCTCTTTTCAAAAAATTAACACTTTTTCTCACTACCTGAAAAGTCAATTATTAATTTTCACGTCTGCCTGATGGCTGATCGATGCTATAATGACTTAGTAAAGGTTTTCTTTATTTTGGCCAGGCATTACTTTCACTCTTTCAAGCCCCAATTTGCACTATCACATTTATGCTAAAATGAGGTATATGTTGTATTATGTTACCATCTATAAGTAATAACTTATATTTTCTGTTATTCATATCCTTTTTTTTTTTTTTTGTCCTTTTTGAGACTGGCTGCACCACGCTCAGCCAGTGAGTGCACCGGCCATCTCTATATAGGATCCGAACCCGCGACGGAAGCGCTGCTGCGCTCCCAGCGCAGCACTCTCCTGAGTGCGCCACGGGCTCGGCCCCATATCAGTGTGTTTGGTGTTTTGTCAGTAGTGGTGTCTTTCAGAGTGATGTAATTATTATGGAGGTCTATCATTTAATCTTAATAATTGTTTCACTTGAAATTTGCTAAAAAGGCAGAAACAGATGAATAAGCTCTTTCATTTTTGAAATAGAGTGTTTTTAAGGTGGCATGTAAGCAATTTTGCTGGTGTATTTTTTTATTTCGATATACAAATGCATCATTAAATTTGAGTTTATTTTATGTAAATTGATATAGGAGGGGTTTTCAAAAAGTTCATGGAAAGATTTTTGTTATCTTTTAATTCCATTTTTCCATGAACTTTTTGAAGTACGCTTGTAGTTTCTGCCTAATATGTTATACCTTTGTTCTTCAGTTTTTCATAATAAATTATGACTAGTTATCCATTGAAAAAGACACTCTAAGTCAAAAAGAGTTCCTGTCAACTTTAGTTAAATCAATTGGGTCTATCAGATTTATTTTTAAAAAACAGTCTTCTATTTTTAGTCATTTTCATCTAGTCTGACAGATCAATGAATGATGTTGTATTAGTCCGTTTCTGTTGCTTATAACAAAGTACACAGAACTGGGTGATTTATAAAGAAAACGCAATTTATTGCTTACAGTTCCAAAGTCTAGGGAACATCTGGTGAAGGCTTTCTTTGGTGACTTCAGTGATGGCAGGGTATCACATTGTAAAATGGCAGAGTAGAGAGAGCATTCACTCTCGTTTTAAAGCCCTCAGAACCATGCCACTGATCACCATTTTATTGTGTTTAACTAGACACGGTCCTCCAAGCTAATCACCTCTTCAAGGCCTCACCTTTCAATTACCAGTTACAGCGGGGGCCAAGTTTCTAATACATAAAACTTGAGGGACGCAATTCAAGCTTCAGTGAGTTTGTGGGGGACATTCAGTCCACTACAGATGTCTTACAATTCATGGCGTAGCCTAATTTCACACACTTTGAGAAGAGTTTTCCAATTATTTATAATACCTGAGGTATTGGCAAGGCTACAAAGGCACCAATATCAATCATTTGAGTCTACAGTGCAGAATTTATTATTTGTTAAAAAAAATCATGTGTTTCTTTACTTTAATATGATAAGTAAGAGACAAATTTACCTTGAAAATCTATGGCCTGGTCATTTCTTGAGACAGTCAAACTACAAAGTTAGAAAATGAGCTGGAATATCTCTTCAGTCACTCATGCCATATGACAAACTAGAGACTGATTTTATATTTGGCTCTATTTAACCAGCTGTGTGGGGCATACTAAATTATACTCATACCTTAAGGATGAAATATCCATGTGCTATTGCACACACTTCTTGGACCAGGATACTGGCTTCAAAACAATGGCTTTTTTAGTGTGAGCATGAATATGATAAATCAAAATATGGAGGAAATCACCAGATACTACAAACACTAAATCTGCCAGCAATTTTCTCAAATTTATACCTAACATTTAACTTGTTATGCAGTTTTGTTTTTGATTTTGCACTTTTCCATCTGTTACAATTGCTCAGATCCCTAAAAGTGCTTCCCCCACCCCAAATTTGTTATAGTTCAGCTCTCTGAAATCCCCATCTGTGGTGTCAGTGTTCAGTTTTTTCTAACTTTTAAAAATAGCTGATCACGGGTCTTAGTTTCAAACAGTGACAGCAGGGGCTCTCAACTGCTAATATTAGGGCTGTAGCAGTATTGTAGCCGCCCTCTTCTGGTGCCATCCACCCCTGAAGAGGAGACCCTCTAGGTGAAGAGAGCAAAAAACAATAAGGGGCCCTTGAGTCTGGAGAAGAAGCCTAATTCAGAATTCTGCCTGCAGGTTAAAGAAGACTTTTCTTTGACTCTTTAGACTTTAGTCTAAGCAATTTTGCATTTTTAATATTTTTTTTTTGTCTTGGTAATCCAAACAAAAAGACCTTTCGTGATTTTTTTTTTAAAGAAATTGTTATTATGTATATTTAAGGTATACAACATGATGTTATGGCATACATATAGATAGTAAAAAGGTTACTGTGGTAAAGCAAATGAGCATATCCATCATGTCACATAGCTACCCATTTTTTTGGTTTTGTTTTTGTGGCAAGAGCAGCTAAAATCTACTCAATTAGTATGAATCCCAAATACAGTACAATTTTATAACCTGTAGTCTTCATGTTGTACATTAATCTCTAGATTTGTTAGTCCTACCTATGTACTGCTTCGTATCCTCTGACCTACATCTACCCATTTCTTCCCCCTGCCCTCCATTCCTGGTAACAACTGTTTTCTCTCTGTATATTTAAAAAAAAAATTTTAGATTCCAGTTTAAATGAGATTACATAATATTTTTCTATTCTGTGCCTGGGTTATTTCACTTAGCATAATTTCCTTCAGGCTCATCCACGTTGTGGCAAGTGGCAAGATCTCATTCTTTTTTAGGGCTGAATAATACTCCATTATATAGATATAGATGATAATCCATTCATTTCTTGACAGACACTTAGGATATTTCCATATTTTGGCTATTGTGAGTAATGCTGCAGTGAACACAGTACTCCAGATATTATGAAGTGGTGGTTTCATTTCCTTTGGGTATATGTCCAGAGTAGGATTGCTGGGTCATATGCTAGTTCTATTTTTAATTTCTTTAGAAACCTCCATACTGTTTTCCATAATGGTTGTGCCAATCTACATTCCCACCATCAGTGTACAAGAATTTTCTTTTCTTCACACTCTCACCAACATTTAGAATTTTTGCTAATAGCAATCCTAACAAGTGTGAGGCTTAATATTAGACAAACTTTTCAGTTAATTTCAGTAGTAGTTTATGATCTTTTTTTTTTTTTTTTTAAATCATTTTAGGAAATTAAAGAAACTGAGTTTAAAGGGATTCCAATAAGTTACTTGGAGGTTCATCCCAATGGAAAACGTTTGTTAATCCATACCAAAGACAGTACTTTGAGAATTATGGATCTCCGAATGTAAGTATATTTCAGTACTGACAGGATAAATACCCATAGAATAAGTAATAAATTAATTTATATTTATAAAAGACAGCAGTGGTTCTAAGGCTATTTTGTCCCCTTCAGGACATCTTGCAGTATCTGGAGACCTTTTTGGTGTTGGTTCTAGTATGTAATGGGTAGAGATCAGAGAATACTGCTAAGGATCCTATAGCTCATAGGACAACCCCCTACAACAAGGAATTATCCAGCCCAAAATGTGAATAGTTTTGAAGTAGAAATGTAGTCAGTTGCTTTTTATCTTCAAAATTAAAAAAAGAAACTTCTACCTTGAACAGTGAGAGAATGTATCTTTTATCTCTGTGATACTGGTATAGCATAGTATTATGATATAATATTATAACTGAAGGAGAAGTCTTTTGATTAATATCCTGTTTTTCTTCTTTCTTTTATTTCTAAATAAAGGCAAATGAAGGGAAATATCCTTAATGTAAAAAGCAGAAGCGGAGTTCTGGGAAAACCAGCCTGGACTTCTAGTGTGCTTTTGTTTTGGTGTTAGAATTCCTGTAAAACAAATAAGAAAAAACTATTTAATTGGATTTCTTTATTGTATTTAGAAAGGCAAATTTGGTAATCTATATTAGTTTAATTCTGCAAGTATCTTTTTAGGGCTAATCGATAACCCTTTAGTATTTATGTAGAACAGTTCAAGACCCTGCATGGGTGCTGTGGGAAAACTGTAAGCAGGATTAGCCCATCAGGAATTTATAATCTAGTTGTACACCTCCAAAATAATGCAGAAAACATATAATTAGGCTAAAATGTGAGATCTTCTAGGACTGAAATCTGCTTATTCTTTTTTCTATACATAGCATCCATGCCATCCCTGGCAGATAGCAAGTACTTAATATGTATTTTTTTAATGAATATAAATATATAATAAAAATTATATTTTTATGGCAACAGTTAAACTGACAGCTACAATATAGTGTTCTGTTAAAAACTCTATTGAGAGGCTGGGATTTGAGCTCAGTCTTAAAGAATGGATAGAATTTAGGCAAAATGGAAATAACTTCAGTAGGACGGAAAACATGAAATAAAGTTCAGGAGTGGAATAATATGTGTTCAAGACACAGTGAGTTACTCTGTATGAGGATAGATTTCTTGACAAGAAATACTAAGAGAATTTTTTAGAAATAGAAATTAGAACCAGATTAGAAGACCAGGCAAAGGAGTTTGCTTATTCCCTTTCTAAGCAGTAAAGTATACAACTTAAGATCTCATGCTTGAACTCTGGCATACTGCCTAGAGTCAAATGCTGCCTTTTTCACCCCTTATTAAATGATTAACCTCTCTTTACCTCTCTTTCCTCATCTCTCACATGGGAGAAATGATCTACCATACTCATAAGGGTTTTGGGGGGGAATAAACTAGTTAATACATGTAAAGTACTTAAAGCAATAAACCATGTAACAAAGACTCCAGCAGTGTTCAACTCAGTAACCTGAGGTCTGGGAATTTATGTTAAGAAAATAATTGTAAAATAGTGCAAATATACATGAACACAAGATTATTCATAGAAAGTGTGTTCATGGTAGGGGAAAGCTGGAAATATCCTAAATGTTGTCTAACAGAATATTTCTTAAGATACTTTTAGACAATGATATAATATATACCCATTAGAATAATAACATATAATCTAATTTTCTGACATGGATGTCTATTATTCATAATTTATTGTTGAGTAAAAAAAGCAGATTACAGAGCAGTATATCTAAAATCCTCTCTGTAACCAGGGATGATAATAGTATCTACCTAGCACGTAATAAACACTGGAACAGTAGCTATTATTCATAAGTGAAAAAGTCTAGAAGATTGTGTGCCCTATTTAATAGATGGTTTAATAATATGTTTCATCTAATAATTCTTCAGGGATTAAGTATTCCTTGTCTGATTTTTAAAATTCATCTGATAGAATAAAAGAACATAAAAATTGTTTTTAGTAACCAACTCAAATGCTACTTCCATAAAGTAGCGTCTGTCTCCATAGCTAGAATTAATCTCTTATACAAATCTAAAAAGTACTGTTCTGTTTTTCTCTTGTGGTACTTTCTACATCCACTTTCTATTTTACATTGGTACATTTCTTTTCTCTCCTGCAAAGTTATAAGTTTCCTGGGCTCTGGGATTGTCTCCTCTTTATTCTACATCCATCATAGCATGTCTTCCTCATGACAGATTCTCAAAAATTGTTTATTGAGGCAGGCCCAGTGGTGCACTGCTACAGTGCGCCGCTTGGGAGTGCGATGGCGCTCCCGCCGAGGGTTCGGATCCCACATACAGACTGGTTCCCACTCACTGGCTGAGCGAGGTGCGGGTGCAACACTGAGGGTTGCAATCCCGTTGCCGGTCCCGGTCCGGTGCGGGCGCGACACTGAGGGTTGCGATCTGTTGCCGGACACGAAAAAAGACAAAAAGGAAAAAAAAAATTGTTTATCGAGTGCAAATTAAGTATTTAAAAGAAAAGTTCTTCTACCACCAGTCTTTTAAATAGTTAAGGCAGGTTACGTTTGTAAAATCTTTTTTGTTTATAGATTAGCAGCGAGGAAATTTGTAGGTGCAGCAAATTATCGGGAGAAGATTCATAGTACTTTGACACCATGTGGGACATTTCTCTTCGCTGGAAGTGAGGACAGTATAGTATATGTTTGGAACCCAGAAACAGGTAAATGTTTATTGGTTGTGAAAAATCTAATTTTTTTTTTTAGGGGGGAGTGGGCTGAAGAAGTATGAAACTTGGCCATTTCATGGAATAACTTCCAAGGAGATTCTCATTTCAGGTTTTCAATTATGATTTTTAAGATTGGAATGCCTTTAATGGAACTCATTACAATCTGCAGTCTAAACTTACATTAAATTCTTTATTGTTTTAATATCTTCATGCATTTAGAATATCACATTACAATTCAAGGTTTATTCCTTCCTTGCCTATAATGAGACATTGCTGATCTTAGAAAAGTATTTAATGAGGACTTTAATGCAAAATGCAAAGTTTTGTAAGCTGAATTTGGAATGTTACTAGATAGACAAATGGTTAAACACCTACATTATATTTTCATTAGTAACAAAAACATTTCTGTGAAAGTTTGTAATGTCTGAAATTTACATAGCAATTTACCTAAATTACTGCAATTTAATTTTTTTCCAGTAAAATAAACTGTTGTTCCATTGAAAAGTTCACTTGTGCCTCACCTTTGCTTTTCAAAAGAAAAGCTAAAACTGCACAAACTTTTTTTAACAAGCAGTAGAGAGAATTTTGTAAAACTTTAAAATTTCTTCAATGAACAGTGTTTGGTTTCACCTTGTTTATTCCCTTGTTCTTTCCTATAGGCATTTTGACTGGTGAGCTCACTTAAGATTTTTTTTCCTGTACTATGTTTTGATACTTTAACATCAATCAGAAGCATTAAGCTGCTCTTTCCCTTCAATAAAGTGGGTCAAGATTCTTTGCTTTTTGACTTCTTCTGACTGATTTTCCTAGGTCCCACCGATTTTCTTAGGTCTGCTTTTGGCATCTTTTACCCATAATCATAGGTGTCTTTCAAGCAGATGGTACTTCAGATAGCCTATGGGGAAAAAAAGTGAGAAAAATTAATTCATCACCCCCCCCATCCCCCTAACTAGAGAGTTTCTTCAGTTTTGGAGTCCTATAGTTCCTCCCCTCGTTCTGCCCTGAGTTCTTTGTTGGTTGGGGTTTGCTCACCTCTGTCAGATCTCAGTCATATGCCTCTCCACTTCCTTCTAAGTGTTTGTCTTTATTTTGCGCCATGGAAACCTCATTGAAGAGGTTAGATTGAGAAGTAGAAAGAGAAAAGCCAACAGAATGCAAAATAAAGATAATTATTTAAGGGGCCGGCCCGTGGCTCACTCGGGAGAGTGCGGTGCTGATAACACCAAGGCCCCGGGTTCGGATCCCATATAGGGATGGCTGGTTTGCTCACTCAGTGAGTGTGGTGCTGACAACACCAAGCCAAGGGTTGAGATCCCCTTACCGGTCATCTTTTAAAAAAAAGATAATTATTTAATACAGTGGTACTCAAATATTTATAAGTATTGGAGGTTTTTATGTAAATAATGTGAGCTTCATCATTTACTTAATATAAATCTTGTAATGAGAAATATCAGATACAGAAAAAATTATTGGATCTTTTTTTATTTAGGAGAACAAGTAGCAATGTATTCTGACCTGCCATTCAAGTCACCCATTCGAGACATTTCTTATCATCCATTTGAGAATATGGTTGCATTTTGTGCATTTGGGCAGAATGAGCCAGTTCTTCTGTATATTTATGATTTTCATGGTAAGTCCACTGCTTGATAAGTGAAGAATACTTAGAGTAGCCTTTACATTTAGACTGAACCAGAAATACATAGTTCTGTGACATATTCATCCTTTGTATTAACAAAGCTCTCTTGACTATACTGTAAGATCCAAACAGATTAAATAATTTATATTATTATCATGTTACATTATTTTATTTTTCTGTAAGCATGGTGTTAATATGAAATTTAAGTATTGGCAAAAGTACAGATAATGGTTGTGACCTCATGTTGGAGTCACAGAAAGGAAGGCATCACTTTTTTTGTAAATCAAATTAAATAAATAAAATTCACCTAAAAGTTATTTGGGAATATGTTAACTAAATTTGAAAGGTAAATAACACTTAAGAAATATGGATCTTTAATGTTTTCAGTTGATATTGAGTTAATTTGTCATTCTATGTTTTTGTTTTTACTGAAACACAGTTTTAATAAGTCATAGGTTTGAGAGTTTCTTGACATAAAAAGTAGGCAGAAATTCAAATGTCATTGAAACAAGGTCTGTGTTAGAAATCTAATATCTTTTTCAACTCTAAACTTACACTGTCCTATCATTCTGAGAAATGAGAAAATAAAAATTTTGGATACGTTTTTCACAAATAGAGTGACATTCTAAGAATTATTTGGATTTATGCTGTTTTTCATATATTTCTTTAGTCTCTATCCTGAAATCAGGATTTTATTATTCTGCATTATACTGATAGTGCTGTGATCCTCAGAATTGTAGTCCATTTTCTTCATATATTAATTTTTGTACAAAAATAAAAGGCCTTCATTAGTCTTTTTGATTTCCCTAGAACGTTATGTATCATCGTTCGCTGTTTTTGTTAAGCTAGGATAGCTTACACACATGTGTAGTTACACAGATATCATAAATATATAAGTATGCAAATAGTTATATAAGTAACATTAATGTAGAACTATTTGATCAAAGTGTTTTAAATTAATGAAATATGAAAAGTTAAGTTTATTAAGTTAGTACAGATTGAATTGGCTAGTAGTTGTGGTAAGTACTAAGTTATTAGACAATCAAGTTAAGTTTTAAACCTGAAGTTTTTGATCATGGTATGAATTATATTATCCTTTCTTAGGTGAATTACATTAGAAAATAATGGATAAAATTGAGATTTATCTCATTTTAAAGAACTTTACAGATAAGAAATAATTTTCAGCAACAAATATTTAAATTTATTGAACACTGTCACTAATGGTAGAATTGTACAAGCAAATATTAGCAAAAATAAACATTGCCTGATTATAGAAAAAGACAAATGGATTTCTCAGATCATCCAATGTCCAATCTGGTGTCTAATTCTAATGTGTATCCAGAAACAGTTTTTTCTTTGTACCTACTCTAAATCTTCACATAAATGAAGAGAGTTATTCCTAAATACTTTATATTTGGGACTGTTATACAGGAAATAGGCAGCACAGTTATTTCCTCAGACTCTTAGGAGGTTTCACAACAGTCTTCATTCAATTTCTAATTTGTTTTTTAGGTTTTTGAAATTTTCACTGCAAATGCAAGTTAAAGTTCCACTCTCACTTTTTTCTTCAAGCAGTTAATTTTTGTTATTGACAGAGGCTTTTATCCTTAGATTAGCCCAGGATAGTTAGAAGTCCATTTTAGAAGCATAGTAGAAAGAGCAAAGTGTTTTAGGAGTATAAAAACAAGGGTTTTAGGCTCCATTCTGTTAATTTAGTGACCTTGCACAAGTTTCTTGCTTCCTGAAGCTCCATTTCCTTATCTATTACAATGTACTAGTAGTACTAGTACCTGTCCTACCTAAGAATTATTTGTGAGGATACTATGAGACAGTGACTGTGACAGTGCTTTGTAAATTGATAAGCACTATATTAAACAAAACATAAAATGGGTTGTTACCTTGCTCATCCAACCAGTATATACTTAACTTTATAGGAAATTGTATTTTAATATGCTAAACATCTCTATGTAAAGTGGAATTGAAAAAAAAATTTTTTTTTCCTTCTCTTTTACTGTTTGTCAGCTTTTTCATTTTATTTATTAAAGTGCCTGCCTTCCCAGGCCAATTGTATTAGAAAATAATGCATAAAGTAAAGAACATAATGTTATATCCACACCATATTAATGTGGAGGAGGAAGGATTTCCACAAGCATTTTAGAGATTAAAACGTTCAAATAATACACACATGAAATTAAAATTTTGTGCAATCTATTTAGAATACAAATTTTGATACACTAACACACCTTTACAAATAAATTAAAACAAAATATTTCAACACATTTTCCGAACTCTTTGCTGCCTATTTTTAAAAAGAGGAAGCTTAAGAAGTAGTTAAGTAACCTCAAGCCATCCAAGACTTAGCAGAGTTCTTGTGAATGCTATATAGATCCATAAGAAAATAAAAGGTTGTTTTAGACTCTAAGGTATTTGATTCATTAAGCACAAACCAGTCATCAAGCCAAATAGTCTTTAAATTTTCATTGAGAATTATAATATTTATTATTGACCTATATAGTTTTGTCTTATATTTAATACAGGAATATTTTGCCTAAACTTTCTTGTCTGAAAATAAAGTTTACATGCAGCTTTACATAAATTTTTTTAATGGTATAAAATTCACAGGATACTGAACAGTTAAGTGGTTTTTAAATAGTACTTATCAGAGCTTCTGATAATTTTCAAGGAAAATGGAACAAGCTCTTTTTTTTTTTTTTTTTTTTTTTTTTTTTTTTTTTTTTTTTTTTTTTTTTTTTTTTTTTTTTTTTTTTTTTTTTTTTTTTTTTTTTTTTTTTTTTTTTTTTTTTTTTTTTTTTTTTTTTTTTTTTTTTTTTTTTTTTTTTTTTTTTTTTTTAATGGTGAGCTGCGAATGAGACCACACTGGTAGCTAAATGTATCATTCATGTTTCAGTTCTAGCAAAATCTGTGAAGAGTCAGCAAGCACCTTTCTCTGTTAAGCATGTGTTCAGGTTGTGGTCTTTTGGGTCTTTCATTCTACTGACTTTTTGCTTTTTTTGGTAAGAAATAAGATTTTTACTTTCAAAAGGTAGTTTTATTTGCCTGATGTTGAAAGGGTTAATCATCTAGTAATACAAAATTTAGTCACAGACTACCACAAATAATGTGCTTTTAGGATTCCCATAGTAACAGAGTACTAGTCAGAGAAACGGCTTCTACTGAATTAAATTTATAAAGCTAGACTTTAGCAATTAATGTTTTTTATTAATAGTTGTCTACCTCAGTCTCTAGGATGCTATTCTACATTTAATAATAATTATAGCTAATACTTATTACATAGCACTTCCTATGTTACTTGTACTGTTTTAAGCACTTTACATATTTTTATTTAAATTTTTACAATAATATTACGACATAAGTTCTATTATCCCTGTTTTAAAGGAGCCAGGGTTTAAACCAATACAATCTGGTCTTGCAGTCCATGTTCTTATTTGCTACATTAAACTCCTTTTTCAGCAGATTTCTGAAATATTAACTTTTGAGTGTGTAATAATCAAACCTTTTTTATCCCCCCACAATACCACTTTCTCTGTGCTCCTCTGTGAAATATGTGATTTCTTTGTATTTTCTGTACTTTGTAGGAAGCGAAGATAGAGCCTTGTTCATCTTTTTATTACCAGTGCGTAACCTGAATACAGACACATGATGAATATGCATGTATTATTTTAAGTGAGGTCAAGTCTTAATTTGGGAAGTTCTCAATATTATTTGATAATCCTAGGTAATGAGCCAATTTCTCACTAGGTGGCAGTGTCTCCTGTGAACCAGTATTAGCTCTGGAATACTTTTCAGTCATAAGGCTTTAGGCAAGACAAATCTTTACTGAGCACCTATTGTGTGCCAAGTTAAGCTGGGCTGTGAAACCCAGGAATCAGTGTCAGATTACCATGCTCTTTTCCAATCCTTTTTGCTTACTAGGTAGTTGATTAAACCTCTAGAAGAACTTTAGTTAATTGTAAAACAATTTCTACCATTGACATGATTTTATTAATAAAATCTATATTTATTAATGATCACCTACAGTGTTATTGTTGGCTTTATTTTTTACACTGTGATATGCTTTACCAGAGTTCAGGGCAACATGTAACTTTAGATTCCTATAAAATTTTATTATATAACTTGTTCATTGACTAGAAAAGCCCATGGTGTTTATAATGCCTTATGTCTAACATAGTACCTGACACATTAATGTTTAATAAATGTTTGCATTAAGAATTAAAAATCTTGTAGAAGAGCACATTTTTCTCAAATCTATAAAAATATAGAATGAAAGGCAATATTAGTTAATAAATTTGGAGCTAATAATAATAGTGGTAGTAGCTAACATTTATCAGGCATTTACTATGTGTCTGCCACTCTTATGAGCATTTTACATATATTCTCTCATACAGTCCTTCTAAAACTCTTTGAGGTAGGTACTGTTTTTAATCCTCATTTTGCGGAGGATGAAACTGTGAGGCTCAGGGAAAACAAAGCAGTATGCCTAAGATCACACAGTTGGTTATAAAGCCACCATTTGATTCCAGGATGTCTTAACTCCAGAGTCTATGCTCTTACTGCATTAAACTGTTTGTCACAGCTACTTATGTAGTCTTGGCATTTCCTGTATCATGAAATAACTTAAATGAAGATGGTAGCTAAATATTCCTATCGTGAAATGTGTTGCTTATTTTCAATTTTATTATTTAGGAGAATTAAATATTTAAAATTATTAAAAAATATAAATATTTTATTTAAACATAATATAATTATTTAATAATCTTATTAAATAATATTTAATATTATTAAATAAAATAATCTTAAATATCTAATTTAAGATTAAAAGGAAGCTTGTTTATCTAGTATTGTTATTAACCATTCACTCTTTTAAAAATTTGGGGAGTAATTTATGATACATTAAGCCATTATATTGTCAGTATAGTTAAAAATATGAATTTTCTTTAGTATGTAGCATTATATTTTAATGTAACTAGTTTTAC